TATATATATATATATATATATATATTTACTCACAAGCTTTTATTGGTTTTACTTATGTTTTGGAATTTATTATTCTAGTTCTTTACCTATTTATTTTTTTTTTTTTCAGTTGGGAGCGATAGCGTTTGCTATCCTGATCTCGGTTGTTTCGACAAGGGGAAACCTTTTTATGATGTGCCAGATCGTCCAATCAGCTATCTTCCTGATAGTCGTGAAGACGTACGAACCAGATTCTTCTTGAATTCGCGATCGAACCCAACCTCATATGACACATTGTCTACAGCCGACCTATCAACAATAACTAGCTCGCATTTCGACCCTGCTCGGGAGACGAAATTTATCAGTCATGGCTATATGGAGAACGGACTGGTTGGTTGGATGGAAGACATGATGACAGAGTTTATAAACAATGGTGATTATAATGTGATTCGCGTCGATTGGGGGAAAGGGTCTACTGCCACTTACGGCCAAGCCACGGCAAACACTCGAATTGTGGGGGCAGAAATTTCTTTCCTAATTGACAAATTTAAGGTAAGCAACATACAGTACAAAATGAGAAAACAATTAATAGTTTTAAACGTAGTATCTTGAATATAATTATTTACTGTTTTAGAGATATTTAGCCTAAAAAATAATAAAAAGGTTTATAAAGATGTGTATCAACCTGATATTTTTCTGAAATAGGTATAGATAATTTAGAGCGAAAAATCAAGCAGGGGACAGCCAATGATGTCCTCAGACAGTGGTAAACAATGCTGGCTGGCATAGGATAATATAGTAAAATAAAATGAATTAATTATTTCTAAAGAAAGGCCTTTATGATTATGCCAGTTCATCTTCCAGTAAGTTGCTGCAAATTAACATCAGTGGCTGCGCCAGCAGGGGTTCAGAGTGGAAGTGGTTCAGAGTTCCGCCTCCTTCGCACACTCTGGACCCCGTCTACTTTTTAACAAACATTTTTACAGTAGAATAGAGTACCATTTTTCGGTATCTAAAAGACACTATATTTAAACGTGGCTCCATTCAGGATGCAATTACAGTATAGTCTTATCTAGATACCAAAACATGGTACAGTATCTAGAAGGGATTATACTTAAAATTTGATCCATCCATAGGGAAGCTGAGGCCGGAGTGGAAACCTGTCGGGGATGATGGAACTTTCTTCTATGGCAATGGACCCATTTTGGGATTCTTGGATCCCTCGCGCGGTATCTATAAACATTCGTCCCCTTCTCGAGTTTGTGCACCTGTTTGGTCCAACACTAACTTGTACAAAAGCGTGCCTTCGCATCTTACCCTGGCGTGATGCTTCATCATGTTATAGTGAGCTGTATGAAAAGCTTGAAATTATCTCGCTTAAGGATCGTTAGGAGAATTTGTGTCTCTTTTTCGCAGAGAGCCTTCTCCTTTCTCAGATACATCGTGAATTTTTACCTAATGTTAGATTTGTTGGTCATAACTATAATTAGCGTTCCCGCTACAAAGACAGAGCGTTACACTAAAATCACAATATTGTTACTTGATGATTGGTTTGCTTAATGAACTTTAGAGTGACTTTTTTCCCAATTCCTTCAATAGATTTTTATACAGATTTGTATCCCAATTTTCACTGATCCCTTGTAATGATTCAATTTTGACATTTGTTTTTCTTTTCACCCAAATTTATTTTTGTTCCAATTTTGCTTGTGTGTCGAGTATTGACTCTGTGTGTCTTCTTGCGTTTTCCTTCTGTTTCCTTTTCTCAATTTTATTATTTTTAAGAATTGTAATTGACAATTTCACTTATGTTCTTTTTTTAATTGTTCTTATATATTGATGTATTTTTCCATTGAGTGTTTTGTATTTGTTTTTTTTTTAAATTGTAATACAAAACCATTTCAGCCTAGGCTGATGTGTTTTATACCGAATAATTAAATAAAATAAAATGAATAAAATACAATGAATAAAAGAGATACTATTTCATGGTGAGAATGGTACTTCGCCAACTGCCATATCGTGGTAGCTTTAGTCAGTACCGTTTTTAAAGATTATGTTAACAATTGATAGGAATTATACGGCTATACTGCTGATAAAGTACACATTATCGGGCATAGTCTTGGATCTCATGTGGCTGGGTATGCTGGTGAAAGGCAAACAAAGCCGAAGCTTGGAAGAATAACAGGTAAGTCAGTAACTTGTTATCCACAAATGCCTTCAAGAGACTGGCAGTGGTTTGAACCTGTCAGGGATTTACAAATCATTTGCAATAAGTTGCTGTCGTTTTCTCTTGTCTCATGTGTCTTCATGTCGTGAGTTTGGAACGGCTTGGTGAAATTCGGTCCCATGTTCCAAATTAAAGATCTAAGGATACAGAAAGTGATCATAATCTGGCTTGGTCAAGTTGAAGGATTAATGACATTCGCTATGGACAGACATTGAATCACATACATTACATTTCAACTGTAAAACTGTTGGGTTCACTGAATGTTTATTTTTTGTTCTAGCTTTATTTGACTACATACACGTTGTTTATACTCACAGTTTTAAAATCTTGGAGAAGTCTACCACTTGGCTTAGGAATACATTTCATAACGTTTTAATGCAACTTAAAGTTGTTAAAGCCCTTTATGTCATGAATTACAAATATGTTAGCCTGGTAATGATCATGTTTTTTTTTTTCTTTATTTTGTCTTTGAAAATTCTTCTGGTAGTTGCTTTGCTTTTATTGTAAACATTAGTACTCTGCAAGTTTGTCATGCAGCATTGATGTTGTCAATGACGACTAAATGTACTCTCTCTAGAATGGTTAATATAAATAATAATAATTTATTATGTAGGCATGGACCCAGCTGGACCTTATTTTGAAGACACAGATATTATTGTTCGTCTTGATCCTTCTGATGCTACATTTGTTGACGCTATTCACACGGACACGGATCCTATCTATAACATCGGTAACCAAAGAACTGTTTTTTGATGAGTAGCTAACTGTAACCTAATTCTTTATTTCAGACATGTTTTTGTATATATTCATATAGAAAGTATGAAAATAAGTATCAAATATATATTTCTCTCTATCTAATTCTACTGTATATGCCATGTTAACCGTTTTGATATATATATATATATATATATATACTGTCTCTTAT